TAACTTCATCAAGAAACTCTATAATTGCAGGAGACTTCAATGCACATCATCTCTGATGAAATTCAGAATGCAAGAGAGCAGTGAGAGCTGATAATCTGGTTAAATGAAGCTTTGAGCATTCAATAGATTTGGTTAATAAGTCTGATCAACAAACATTCTTTAGAAAAGGCATGAAACAGAAGTCTATTATAGATCTAATCTTCATGTCACAAAATCTAATGAAAAGAAGACTTGTAAACTGATTTATTGATTCAAATGAGACATCAGGATCAGATTATGAGATTATTCAATTTGATATTGAACTGAGTGAAAAATAAATAAGTGAAAATCCTCTTCTCTCTAATCAGTATAACTTTGAAAAAGCTGATTGAAAAGCAGTTGAAGAAAGTATAAAACTGTTAAAATCTGAGAGACAGAATGAGCTATATTGGAATTCTGATCAAGATATCTCAAATGAAATGCTTGAGAATAGAGTGAAGCTTATTACATCTATTATTCTAACAAGTGTTAGAGATAATATTTCAAAGAGAAAATCTTCTGAGTATTCAAAACCTTGATGGAATGAGAATATCTCATCTAAAAGAAAAGAATTAGCTACTGCTAGAAGAGATTGAAAGAATGATGTAATATCTGATGAAGAGTTCAAAGCTGTCAGAAATGAATATTTTTCAGATATTAAAAGAGCTAAAACAGACTGCTGGAATAAATTTCTTGAAGAAGCACAAGAGAAGAAAGTTTTTAAAGCTTTTAACTATACTAAAACAAGAAGTGTAGCAAAACTTCCAGTCTTAGAATATGAGTTTCAGAATGAATCATATACAGCAAACTCTTTTGAGGAAAAATGTCAAGCTTTTATGAGAATTCTCTTTCAGAACTCACCAGATTCAGATTCAGATTCAGATTCAGATTCAGAGGAAGAGAATATATCACTTCTTAACTACATTAATGAAAATGACTGGGAATGGCCGGATCTTACACAAGATGAATTAGAGTCAGCTATCTTCTCAAGTTCTGTTAAAACTGCTGCAGGTCCTGATTCAATTAATCACTTGATTATTCAGAATACATATTCCTACTTAAAGAATGAATATTTTGAGCTCTTTTTCAATCTCTTGAAAAATGGATATCATTCTGAATACTGGAGAGAAGCCACTGAAGTGATTCTTGCAAAACCTAATAGAAAAACTTCAATTTCTAAGTCATATAGAGTAATATCTCTATTGAACTGCCTAGAAAAGGTTTTAGAAAAGATAATAGCTACTTAACTATTTTTTATAAGCTCTATAGATAATTCTCTTTTATTCAGTGAACAAATGAGAGATAGAAAACAGTGTTCTGCAATTGACACTGTTCTCTCAGTTGTTCATGATATTCAAATAGCAAAGCATGAGAATCTGGTCTCAACTGCAGTTTTTATTGATATAAAAGAAGCATTTGATCATGTTTCAAAGTCAAAGTTAATTCAGATATTGAAGATATTAAAACTGTCACTTTCTCTAATAAAATGAGTTAACTGTTTTATGTCTAAAAGAAGTATACAACTCTTCTTTAATGGAATGAAACAAGACAAGACTGAGATAAAAATAGAAGTATCACAGAGATCTTTAATCTCACTTATTTTATTTGCAATATACACTGTATATCTATTTAAAAATAGAAATATGAGAATAGTGTGATCTCTGAGTTATGTGGATGATATTGGTCTAGTCTACAGCTTAAAAACTATCAAAGAGAATTTGAAAGTAATTGAAGAAGCTGTAAAGAAAATCTTTGTTAGAGCAGATATCAATCAAATTCAATTTAATATGAATAAAACTGAGTTAATTCATTTCTTTGCTAGATTTAATGAGAAAGAACTATCTCTAACTCTGTTAAATAGAGAGATTAAACCCAGTGTAAATGTCAAATGATTAGAAGTATGGTTAAACTCTAAGTTGAATTTTAAATATCACATTCAACAAAGAACTGTCAAGGCAGAAAGACTATTAAATAACATAATCAGACTATCAAATACAGAGAGAGGTCTATTCTTCCAGGCTATGAGACAGTTATATATAGCCTGTATTACATCAGTAGCTGATTATGAAGTTCAAGTTTGATGAAATAATCAAGGAAATTTCACTGAACTCTTTCAAAGTCTGCAAAACAGAGCCTTGAGAAGAATTCTGAGAGCATTCAAATCATCTTCTATTAAAGCAATAAAAATTGAAGCTTCAATTCCTCCTTCTGCTATTAGATTTGAAAAGGCCTGTATGAACTATGCTCTGAGAGTTATAAAGATGAGCTCAAATCATATAATCAGAGAAAGAGTCTCTTCTTCATTTTCATCAAGTAAGTCTGAAAATGAACTGAATTGAAATAGATTTCTTGATTGAAATGAAAATAATTCTTCAAAGAAAATGTCTTCTCAACTGTACAGACTATGCTCTCTGATTAAAAATCAATTTTCTTCTTTAAATGTTGAAAAAGTTGATCATGAGAAGTTATCTCTCTGAAGAGAAAAGCTTGAATCTCTTATAGATTTATAAATAAATGAACTATCAAAAGAGAAAGAATATGAACAGTATTCAAAAAGAATTTCTACAATCAATATAAAAGATTCTATTCTGATTTATTCAGATGACTCAAAAAATGAGAACTTGAATAGATTAGGCGCAGACATTGCTTATACTGAAGATAATATCAATTTTATCTCAGATTTCTGGAATATAGACTCTGAATGTGAAGTCTTTGATACTGAACTATTTGTAATAGTGAAAGCTTTCAAACTCATTGAAATAAAATCTCATAGAAGAGGAAATTGTTTGAAAGAGGCATGAATATTCTCTAATAGTCAAGCTGCTTTAAAAAGACTTAGAAATAGTCAGATTCATAATGATCAAATGAATCTTGAACTGATCTTAAACTCTGTTTTGAAAATTCAAAAGAGAAGAACATCAAAGCTGATTATTCATCTGCACTAAGTTCCTGCTCATATGAATATTCATGACAATGAATTGACTGATTCAGCTGCAAAAAAGAGTGCAGAATTAGGCAGATGTATTTAAAAAATTGTGTCCTGGTCTTTTATAAAGAGAAAAATAAAAGAATCTTGTTTACACAAGTGGAATGAAAGCTGATAGAAACAAAAGAAGAGTATACATTATTCAAGATTTGAAACAAAGCTCAAGTGAAAATCTTGTTCAATCAAATGTAAAAAGAAAATATTCTCATCTATAATACAGCTGAAACTAGAACATGGCTATTTCAAATCTTATATACAAAGATTTGATGATAGATTTGAATCAATAGAATGCTCATTCTGTAATACAAATGAGAATTCTGAGTATATTGTAATACACTGTGCATTATACAATAGTCTCAGAGCCAGATTGAAAGAGAAGTATAATCTAAATCAATTAAATATGAGATTCTTATTCTCAACTGAGACAGGAATTAAATACTTAATAGACTTTCTATCAGAAACTCAAGCAGCTATAAGAAAATGGCTAAATTCAGAATTATCTGAATATGAAGAGGAGGAAATCAACCAGATATAGTCTGTTAAAACAGCTATATACTATCTTTTAATAATTTGTTTTGTTACAGTCTTTCTTTATTTTATCTTTTCCTTTCAATTTCTTTCTGTCTATCTATTTAATATGTCTATCTTTAAGACTGTGTTCTCTTTTCCTTTGTCATGATATTGTCAAATGGTTTCAAAGTATGAGATGATGTTAAAATACTGCAATTTATAAACAGTTTTTGTATTCTTAGCTGGAATTTTCTGATTTTACATATCTGGAATTGATGAATGTATAATAGTTAACTTTACAGATATAGGAAAAACCCTGAGAACTAAAAGTTCTCAGGTAGATGTCATAGTCTCTGACTGCATACATCTATAATTGAAGAATAATAATAATAATAAGACATTGTTTTGTCTGTCATATCAGTCAAGTATTTTAAATAGATATGATCAGAATTTAGAGTGTATAACAGTTGAGTATATCAGAATGTATACTAGTGAGAATCTATTGTCTCAGTTTGAATGATAGTTATCAGTTTGAATGAGGATTGAGATCAGTGTATAATCGTCTCAGTTCGAATGATAGTTATCAGTTTGAATGAGAATTTGAATCAGTGTATAACAGTCGAGTAGATCGGACTGTATACAAATGAGAATCAATTGTCTCAGTTCAAATGATTGTTGTCAAATTCGAATGAGAATTGAAATCATGGTGTATCGCGCTTCTCTTCAGATGCTGCTTACTGGGAATCAGGTATGATATAACAGTCAATTAGATCAGACTGTATATGAATGAGGATCAATTGTCTCAGTTCAAATGATTGTTGTCAAATTTGAATGAGGATTGAGATCAGTGTATCATGCTTCTCTTCAGATACTGCTTACCGGGCTCATAACTGTCGGATTGAGTGTTACGGATGAATATGTTGAAGACATATGAATCTTATTTGTATCAAGATCTGCTTGTTATATTATCCATACACTATCTAATATATCTATTTCATACAAAAGATGGAGCTATTTATAGTAAAATATATGTGTGAGCCAAGAGAGCTAGCATAAGCGAGTATTAGATGAGTGTTGTAGTAAGCTGATGATGATGAGAAATATTGTAGTAATACGATGTTGATGGCGTTCAATAGTGTATAACCTCTTTTTCCTGACACAATGCAACAACAAGAAGTTAGAACTGCATTCCATGTGATGTTATTATGGCGAGATTGCTAATAATCAGCAATGTCTCTTGATTTCTGAACATTGTGCCATAAGACTCATAGTGCCTGTGGACATCTTGTGAGTAGACAGCTTCACACTGGGCATCGATCTCCCTCTTCAACCCAAGTTTTTCTATGACGCTGCATGCTTCCGAGAAACTGGATTAAACTTTGGCTATGGACCCCAAAATAGACTACCTGAAAATCAACGGCCCCACCAGTCGACCATCAGGGTGATTATCACCCTTGAAATCGGGGCCTGTGCTTTATTAGAGTTAGCGCTCATACACTGCGGGTCAGGCCACACATTTCACGGGGCCACGCATTTTGATCCTTGTCGGTATTAAATTTAGATCGAAATGTATGAAGTCTATCTTTGAGACCAGCTCTTTTCTCTAACTATAAAAGGACACATTCTCTCCTGCTATCAAGTTATGCCAGCCTACAAATATCCTCATTCATGAAAACAGACATGTCACCATCGGATCCCGAGAAGTCTTCAAGTCAATGGACAGAGAGAGACAGCCTTGTCCAAGCGCGAAATCGAACAAAGAGAACATTAATAAATAAAGCGTATGAATACTTTCAAAAATGCAAGGCCGACGTTTATCTCTACATCCACTATGAAAACAAGTATTTTATTGCAGAATTCTTCAGGGATTCTAATACTACCAGCTTTCAACTCTTGAATGAGTCGCTGGTATGTCAGAATTTAATCCCATATATTTATTGTCTTGCTAAGTTAAATAGAAGAAAGTTTACCCACTCCCGGTACGAACAACATCTGAAAACCTTCCAAAAATAGTCAAAGATAGGAATAGAGTTCAAAAAAATAAGCGAGGGGAGAACTGATAGGTATATATTGTGAGCAGCTTTAATTCCAGCCAATCAATGAGGGCAACAGTTGAAAGTTTAAATTATCCAATCATATACACTGAATTCCTCATCATTTCTAAAAGCGCTTTTTCTACTTTTCTATAGAGCACCCTCTAAAAATAACTCTGGCCATATGGTCTCTTAGGCCCTGTGGCCCTTTATGCCATGGGGCCTCCCATAATTAAGCAGACGTACTCCTTTGCTTCTTATTGGAAGGAGTGGTTATGACGCTGAGTATCTGATTCAACGGCAGTGGAAGGAGTTGGCTCTGAAGTCGACTGACATGTTTGAAGGACGGCTTCTTGTGTACTTCCAGTACATTCATCGTCTAAAATTTGATAAAACCTCTTCTTTTCCCTCTCTTCATTTTTAGTAGGACTAATACATATTGGTTCTGGGAAGAAGACATAAATGTTGGCATAGGTCCCTATTCATTTCAGACCATTAGTTATGGGACATATCCAGTCCCATATCCGTACAAAATACAGACCCAAGAATACAGGTCAGATTAGGGCACATGGTATCCAGCCTGGATCGGTTGAGCTGTGCCGACAGGCCTGGCTTCATGGAAAGATGACCCTCAATGCGCCAAGTCTATATCACATGGTTCGCCTTGGAGGGGTAACAATGGCATCATAGGAAAGAAGTCAAAGTTCGTTAGGAAGCAGCTGGTTGTGTATTTGGGAGACAACGAGAGAAAATAGCAGCATCATCTCGCTTTCTCTTCTTTGAAACTCTCTTGCTCAAGAGACGCTTTTGGGATGAGATTCTTGCTCGGTCGAAATCTATAATCATCGCGCCTTTATTCTCCGCATTCCAAAATATATTACCGTCGTGCGCGTCACAATGTCGAATCCCAAGACCATGAATATCCAGTAGAGCCTCTCGAATGCTTTGAGATATACCCAGACCTTCATGTAACCTAATGGGCCTCCCTGCATGACTGAGAAAGAGTAGATAACCAATTCTTGCAATACCGTCGTAATATAGCGGACGGCTGGATATATCCACACTTCCCAGACAAACAGGAACACGTTTACCCTGAATAGATCGTAGGCTTCGATATACCTTTTCTTCATGCAGGGAATATCCAAACTCAACAGGGGTTCCTTTCGCCACAAAGCTATAACCGTGCATGAAGTGAGTAAACGAGAACAGAGCGGCGGAAAGTCCGTGCTTGTGCATTGATTCGCAACCGAAAGGGCCATCATCTTTTCTCAGAATCTGCGCGCGAGCTGACTCCAGCAACTCTTGCTGATTAATAGCATGCCGCTTACCACCTCCATGACTTGCCACATTCGGACATTTTTTATCGAGAAGACCGCCTCTTATCAAGCCCAGGAGACACTTCTGTGTGCAGTATTTCTGTCCACTTGATTGTGTATTGCTGCCCCCTTGGCCTGGTTTCGGGGGAGGCATGACGACCATGATATTTGAGGGGCGGCCCGTAAGTCGCGTGCTTGGACTGTCGGGATCGTATCCGCCATTCCCACTGCTGTCATCGTCGCTGGTCTCCCAGTTTGTTGACGTTTCGGCGGGACGACATGAAGAGCTGGCGGCTAGACCCTTCAGTCGTGTCTTGACTGGTGAGATGCGTATATATTCATTTCTGCTCCATCGATTCTGCTTGTAATCGGACAGCTTCTCGCTGCTTTTTTCTAGATCTGATTCAAGAATATCGTCATGTGGAGTCTCCCATTGCTTGAGCATCGCCTCCGCACGGTTGCGCCAGCTCTGGTCGTGGGGGTCCGTCCTCAATGCCCGAAGAGTGAAAGCCAGCACCTGTCCTATTGCGGTCAGGTGTAGCTTATTATCGCAGTTAGAACCGCTGACCCAGCCGGTGGTTTCTCCAACATCATCATTTGGAACTGAAAGATAATAGTAGACGGTGGTGGGATCGTCAGGATCCACATGGAGAAATATAAACGCTTCTCCAGTGCATAGATAGCAGTTCTCAAGACCAGCTCGGATCATATATGAAAATGGCTGAGATATACACGCAGCAACTCTCCAGCGAGCTACCTTCATGGGATCACCCTCCTCGACATTCTCGATCACTTCACCAACATCCATATCCACAAGCCCTGCCTCAATAATGCCCTTAGTGAGCTTGTGTGGTGCCTTGTATTCGACGATATAAGCCGGTATTTCTTCGTCCGAGCCGGTGTTGTAAACACAGAACTGGTCGGCACGGGGGTGAGATGATCTTGATCGTACGGTTGGAGTTTCTGGGGGGGTATCCATATCGAGCTTCTTATGCCGCTTGCGCGCCGGTGACTGCTGAGAAGAGCTAATGCCTGACTCGGTATATTTGTTTTCAGGGCTTAAAGTATTTCCATGGTTTTCAAATTGTATCTGTCCCTTGAGATTGAATAGGTTCCGGAGGTCTTGGTTGGAGTGTAGCTGTCGAATAATGCTAGACACACGATCTTCAACGGTATATCGCTGATAGTAGTGGAGATCCAGCTCAGAGCCCAGTGATCTCACCTGCAGCTCATGACTTGATTCTTTCAGCGTGTGCAAGGATGTGAAATGTCCTTCCGAAACAAAGTCGGTGGCAAAAAGATCCTCCCAGACACGCGACTGTTCCTTGGGAAATGTGGTCCATTCTCGGATTTTATCTGGACGCAGTTTGGATTCGGCATTTTCAGGATTCCCCTGAGTTCCGGTCCTGTGGTTTATACGTGAGGATAGGCCCACAGATAAATAAGTGTGGCATGCATCTAAAAATTGAGGAAGAGAAGTTGGCAGCAACTGTTTTTCTGTTCGTTGCTTTTTCTCTTCTGCCTGTCGCTGTCTTCCTTCTGCTTGTCGTTTCTCTTCTTCTGCTTGTCGTTTCTCTTCTTCTGCTTGTCGTTTCTCTTCTTCTGCTTGTCGTTTCTCTTCTTCTGCCTGTCGCTGTCTTCCTTCTGCTTGTCGTTTCTCTTCTTCTGCTTGTCGTTTCTCTTCTTCTGCCTGTCGCTGTTTTTCTTCCGCCTGTCGCTTTTCTTGCCTCGCTTCTTCCAAGAGCTGGCGAAGCTCATGCTCCTGGAGCCTCCCGGAATCCTGATGGGCCATAACCAGAGGCTGAATTATCAATGATTTTCTCGCAAGTTGGGTATTGTTGATGAATTCTAGTGTTAGGACATATCAGCGTTAAGTTGATACTCGTGGGAAGTCAACAATAAATAAGTAGGAATCCAACCGCCTGAATCATCACGTGATTATCGATGATCTTGGAGGATAATATGTAGCATCCGCCCTAGTGGCGTTGCCGTAGCGACCGCTCCGCCTACACGTGATCTCATATGTAATATATATAGCTAGCTCTTCCTACACGAATACAACAGATTAACCATCCCACAGGTTATAGCCCGGATAGCACATTTTTACTTTTGTTTAAAAACACCTGTGTAAGCATTGGATGTGTTCACCCTGGATAGGAGAATTCTTTTACCATGTTTACATTGCATGTTTCAAGTGTATCTGCTTGACTGGTGATTGAAATAGCAGAACTCTACAGTATAATATAATGTGTTTTTTCTTTTCAATTCCTTCATTCAACTCTTCTTTGACTGATGAGTGGTATATCTATGCTACAGAGTGATAGAAGAAGAACTTTACATTTACATTCTCACACTCAGACATCTATCAATGAAGAATCAGAGAAAATAGATACTATACAATACACAGAAGTCATAGAAGAGATTATGAAGTTATCTACAAATAGCAGAGCAGATCATGAATCAGATAATAGTATTTCAAGCTCATAAGCAACACATACAGAAGTGTGACACACAAGTACCATGTCTAAAATGAGTTCAGATAATATAATATCAATGATATTCAATAATCTGATAATATTCTGTGACAGAATGAGCACATGTTAAGTAGCTATCTCTGCAGCAGATGATTTCAAATCTGAGATCTATGAATATCAAAAGAATGTTTAAAAAGCTATGAATATCAAAGCTGTAATCACATTTGATGACAATAACTACAAGATCTGATATACAGAAATTCTTGTGAACACTGAAGTTATTAACAGATCTGACATTCTTACAAAGAATCAATATATCTGTTCAGAAGACATCAGTCAAGATACATTAAGTGCTGAAAAATGAAGCATTTATATCAAAGCACTGTATCAATATATGTTGCAGTTCTTATTAGAATCTGTATATATAATTATTGAAACTCTTGAGCCAGATAATGCAGTCATACTATGAGAAAGAATTGAAGTTAAATATACTATCTCACTTGTGAAGAAACATATGAATATTGTGAAAGAATTCATCATCTTACATGTCAAAGATAATAATTATCTAGTATTTCAGAGAAGATTCTGTTATCTAGTTACACATCATAAGAAATTGATAAATAACTCAGAAGACTTCTATCACAATCTCTTTCTTATTGATCTGAAGAAGTATCAAAAGTCTTTTATTAAGATATATTTAGATAATTTCTACACATCTGATCAGAACTCTATATACAACATCAATATTAATAATCTTATAAAACAGTTGACAAACTGTATAAGCAAGTTCAAGAATGAAAATTCTAAGTCTCAGTAAGTTAATATAACTATCATGACTCTCTCTACATTATCTACATACAGTTTCAAATGTGAGATATGCAGTTTAAGATAGCACTGAAAAAACACCTGTTAATGTCTGTATTCAGAACTTGCTACTGAACAGTAATATGAGTTAAATAAGAAATATATTATTACACCTGAGAAGAATAATAGTAACAATGCTAGTATCAGCAGATGCAGCAAGTAGAAGAGTAAAAAGAAGAACAAAGATAATAAGAAGAAGAAATTCTCTGATCTTATAATCTCACAATCTGCAGCTGTCAACACAGTAATTGCTTTTTCAGTAATTATTGACATAATAAACAAACCTTGATTTCTTGATACATATGCAAGTTTTCATATAACAGATGAAAAGCAGTCTCTCATTCAGCAGAAGATGTACAATAGTAATATGAAGATTCATACAGTGAACAGAGATTATGATCATGTCAAAGAGATCAGCAATCTTCTTCTAGAATCTGAAGAAGAGAATATCACTGTCTGTGATGTTTATTATATTCTCAATCTCACAGTCAATCTATTGTCATTCATCAGATTGAAGAACTAGAATTTTCAATATAAGCTTTCAAGCTTGAACACTCTGTTCTATTTCATTATTAAAGTATCAAGTGAAGTGATTTTCACTGCAATCTGTACATCTCAAAACTCAATTTATAAAATAGTTGAAAGAATGTCAGAAGTTGATGTACATCATGAGTCTAAAGCAGTCTACTTCACAGTGAAATCATATGTATATAATAATGACTATGCTAAAGCTATAGTCACTATTGATGACAATGATCTCATCATTGATTAATCTCAACATTGAGAATCATCTACAACTGTGAAAACACTTGTGAAGTGATATGTTAACCTGAGATATATACATGTGAGAGCTATTATAGCATTGACAAAGAATTCACTATCTGATATTCATATCAAAAGCATCAAGATCAATTTCTTTTGCAACACCTGTGTTAAAGCAGATATGATATATAAATACTCAATCACTCTCATGTCACAGGCTGTACACTCAATGAAGTGAATTTATATCAATCTTGCAGGTGATGAGCAGATGTTGAGTGAGTCTATGAATCACTCTGTTGAATCACAGCAGAGTAATAAATATTACATGTTAATTATGAATAACATGATCAGATATAGATGAATCTATTTCTTACATATCAAGAATCAAGCTTACAATTACTATATGCACTGAGTTCAATTCATAAAGAACCTAGGTTTTACTGCATCAGCATATGTCAGAACTGATGTTAATGATGTATTCAGATTTATGAAGATTACAGCATTATTCATCAATCATGACACAGTATGAGAATCAACTACTTCTCAATCATCACATCAAGATAGCATATCTGAGCGTGAAATACATACAATTATGACTCATGTCAGAGCAGTTCTTATCAGTAAGAAGATTCTGAAGAAATTCTGAGCAGACATTCTGAAAACAGTTGTTTCAATCACAAATAATACACTCACATCTACAGTTCTATATAATGAAAAGTATTGGCCTGCAGTTGCAGATGATGATAGTAAAGAAGCTGTTTATAGCTCTTATACAATTCTCTTTTCAGCATTGACAAACATCTCACTGCAGATCACACATTTTCATAAGCTTGAAACTGATGTTTTTACTCATCTTCATGAATCACAGAAGCTGTTGAATAAGTTGTCTGCACAGGTCAATTTATATAAGCTTATTGAATTCTGTGAACATTCAATCTATCACTTGTGAAGTTCTACAACAGATAAAATTATTGATACAAGTGATGTGATTTTCCTCACAAAAGTGTAAGAAATACTGAAGATTACTATAACTACAACTGCAGCAACTGACACTGTTTCTATTACCTATTTAATGAAGAATTCTGACATTTCTGAATTGATGAGTACAGATTGAATGCAGTCAGTGAAGGCATTTGCAGCTTACACTCTCATCTTCATTACTGATTCTCTTCTGAAATCATATAAGAATGCTATGAATAGATCAGAGATGATGAAAGATTATTGAAAGAAATTAATACAATATGAAATATCTGATCTTGAGAGATGCAAGATCTGAACACTTATTTCTAGACTGACCGTGTGACCGTGTCTGGGACCAGGACCAGATTTTTTGATAGTCCCATTACCAATTTGACTGATCCCATTACACGGTTTTAACATTAGATAGTAGTCTCATACTGTCCCAGTGGGACTTACTGTCTACTCTTGTCACATTTTTCAAATGAGACCATGATTTCCACTTCTCAATTTAAATTATTTTTATTACTTTAAATGACTTTAAATCTCATTTGAGCATTACCAAAAAGTGTTACTTTTTAAAAAATTAAAAATAGTCTAAAAAAAACCTTAAAATGTCTAAAAATAGTAACTTTATGCCAAGAATGGGACTAAATGGAACCAAATGAGACCACTTTCTCATTTTTTTCAAGTCATGGTTCCATTTTAAGATCTGATATATAGTCACTTTACCTGTTTTTTTAATAGCCAGTCCCAGCGGGATTCACGCCAAGAAATGTATGGGATCAGACCAAATGGGACCAAACATGAAATTCATGGTCCCGGCGGCCAGTCTACTTATTTCACATTCTGATATCTCATATGATGAACCAGTGGCATCTGATTGCTGAGTATTTATTGAAAAGAATCACTCTGATGATCTCAATGCTGATGAGAATGATATATTGTGAAAATCTCAATGAGTTATATATGATAACTGATTGAAGAAAGACACTCATCAGAAGACTTATATCTCTGTGATTACAGATATAACAAATTGAATGATGTTTATGATTACTGTAAAGTGTGATTGAACTCTATAGTAAGTGAATATAGTAATGACATATCTGCATAATAGATTAGAGAAAACAGTCTATATAAGACAACTCACAGACTTTGAATAAGAAACTCAGTGTACACTCATCTGTGCAGTTGAAGAATCTCTATATGAATTGAATTCAGCTGCTAAAATATGATATGACTACTTGACAGCTATACTGTGAGAAAATGACTTCAGTCTGAGTTCTTATGATTCTGCTCTTTGAAAGCATTTAGCCTGAAAACACCTGTATATGATTATATATGTTGATGATCTTCATATCTTTGCAGATATCTTAAAGAATGCTGATTGACTTATCAACATTTTGCAGCAAAAACTAGAGATCAAAGACTTAAAGAAACTCACAAAATATCTAGAAATGAAAGTGAAATATATGAAGAATGAAATTAAATTAACACTCTGACATTATATCAATAAATTGATAGAAGATTTTCACCTAGATGATGCAACTGCTGTCTGTACACTCATGAATAAGAATCTATGTCTAGATGACTTCTCTGTCTCTGAAAAAGAAAGCAGTTTTACAAAGCAATGATTTCAGCATGATGTTGAGTGTCTGTAATACTTAGCTGTCAAGCTGCAGCTGAATATCACTCATGTGACATCTCTACTGGTACAGAAGAACACTGCTCTCATTCTTAAGATGTGAAAGGCTCTATTACACATCATTCAATATTTGAAAGAAACACATGAGATTGGCATATTCTACACAAAGAATAATGATAAGGAATCTGAGAATGAATTCCTGAACATGGCATACATGCTGATTAGATATACTGATTCTGATTGAGCTGACCTGTTGAAT